GCCCGCGGTCGGTCTTGGGGAGGCCGCACACGAAGTCCATGGAGATGGACTGCCACCGGTGAGTTGGGATGGGCAATGATTGGAGCTTGCCGGGTTTGGCCCGGTTCGAGGGGTTGACAGCTTGACACGTGGGGCACGAGTGAATGTCTGCCTTAACGTCGACGAGTAGGGAAGGCCAGTAGAAGTGGCGGGAGATGGTGTCGAAGGTCTTCTGGAAACCGAGATGTCCTGCGGTCTTGGCGTCGTGGTGCTCGGCCAAGAGCTGAGTACGGAGGCCTCGTGCGTCGGGGATGCAAAGTCGGCGAGTGCCTTTGGTATCGATGTAGAGGAGATTGTTGTGAAGGGAGTAGTCGGGAACTGAGTCAAGATCACGGAGCTTGTTGTAAATGGTGGCAAAGTCTGAGCAGGAGAGATAGCCTTGGGTGTATCGATGATGAAGCGATGGAAGGAGTTGAATATGAGTCATGGTCGCGTAGACTTTCTCGGGGGACTTGTGGTTGGGTCGTCGCGAGAGGGCATCGGCAACGCGGTTGCTTTTGCCGGGGGTATGGCAAATGGTGAATGTGAATTGGGCAAGGAAGTCTAGCCAACTGGCTTGGCGTGGAGTGATATCTTTCTTGGAGAGGATGGAGGAGACGATGGTGTTGTCAGTGCGGATGGTGAAGTATTGCCCGTCGAGGTACGGGCGCCAGACTGTGAGGGCGTGAATCACGGCGAGGAGTTCCTTCTCGTTGGAGGGGTAATTCATCTCCGCGGGAAGGAGCTTCTTGCTTGCAAAGGCGATAGGGTATTCGCCAGGTGGAGCCTCGGGGTGAGTGGGCGAGTCCTTGATGGGGGGTCTCGGCGGTGTCGCGGGGGAAATATTGGGACAATACGGCTCCGATGGCGAAGTCGGAGGCGTCAGTGGTGACATAGAAATGGCGAGTGGGGTCGGCGATCTTGAGGACAGGGGCCGTGGTGATGGTTTGCTTGAGTAAGTCGAAAGCTTGTTGGCGGCGATCGTTCCAATGGAAAGGCTTGTCCTTGCGGGTGAGTTCGTGGAGAGGGTAAGAGATCTCGAAAAAGTTGCGAATGAACGGGCGGTAATAGTTGGCAAGGCCAAGGAAGGAACGGAGTTGGAGGAAGGTCTTGGGTGGGGGGTACTCGACGAGGGTTGTGACCTTCAAGGGGTCCATACGGATGCCTTCAGCGAAGACAATACGGCCGAGGTATTCGACGCTCGAAGCGGCAAACGTACATTTGTTGAGCTTGGCGTAGAATTTTTGCTCTCGGAGGATCGCGAGGACTTGGCAGAGGTGCTAAAGGTGGGACTCGAAGGTGGGGCTGAAGACAAGGATGTCATCAAGGTAGACAACAAGACAGACTTCGAGGAGGTTGCGGAAGATGTGGTTCATCGTGGATTGGAAGGTAGCGGGGGCATTGGTGAGTCCGAATGGCATCACGAGGAACTCGTAGTGCCCGAACCGAGAGCGGAAGGCGGTCTTGTGGGTGTCCTCCTCGCGGATACGGATTTGGTGGAAGCCACTACGAAGGTTGATCTTAGTAAAGTACTTGGCTCCACGGAGACGATCAAGGAGCTCGGAAATCCGAGGTAAGGGCTACTTATTCTTGATCGTGATCCGATTCAAGGCGCGGTAGTCTGTGCACATGCGGAGTTCCGAAGTTCCACCTTTCTTGACGAAAAGGCAGCTGGTTCCGAAGGGGGATGAACTTGGCTTAATGAACCCTTTTTCAAGGAGTTCACCGAGTTGCCGTTTCATTTCTTCGGCTTCGGGGACAGAGAGTTGGTATGGAGGGCGGTAAGGTGGAGAATGTCCGGGTTCCAAATCGATGGTATGCGATACGCCACGATCCGGAGGTAGTCCGGCGGGTAAGGACTCGGGAAAGACGTCCCTGAACTCGTCGAGGATTGAAGTGATGGCGGGGTTGGAGGGCGGGGCTTGATCGGGTTTGTCCGTCGGGAGTAAGTCCTTGGGACTTTCGCGATCAAGGACAAGACAGTAGTAGGCGGAGTCGGGGTTTAGGCGAGCCATGTGGAGGAATTGGTGCGGGGTGACAGAGCCTTGGGAGGTCGGATATGGGAGATAGGGGGTGTCAATGGTTGTGTCGGGGGGGTTGGTGAGGCGAAGGAAGTTGGGGTGGAATGCATATGGCATGTAGCGGTCTAGCCACGGGTTTCCTAAGACGATGTCGCACATCAAGTGCATGACATCAAACGAGACCTGACTGCGGAGGGTTCCGACGGTCATGATGGTCTCGGGAACCGTGCGGTCTACTACGACGGCGGTGTCTTTGTCCCCTAGGCGAATTGTGATCGGGGAGTCATAGCCGGTAGAGGTAAGACCGGCTTTGCGGACACACGCGTCGGTGATGAAGTTACCGGTGGCTCCAATGTCGAGGAGGGGTCGAAACTTAGTTGTAGACGCACCAAGGGTGGCAGCGATGAATTTGAGGTGGAAACGAGATGAGTTGGCGGTGGAGATGATGGTGTTGAGGCGGCGTTGTTCGTTGCCTAAGCGGACAAGCCGATCGTGYCGGGCTTGTTCCTCAACAACATCGGARAAGGTGATAGTGGATGCATTTRGAGGAAGGGTAGAGGAGCATGAGGCAGTGGGAGGTGTTTGCGACGCCTGGGAATCGTCCAGTGGAGGGGGCGTCGCCGGAGAGGGGGAAGGCAAACGAATCGTCGATGTCAGATGGGCCATCGGTGCGAGGAAGGATGTCACCGATGGGTAGGCTGAAAGATGCAATGTTGATGCCGGGTCAGTGTCCTGGGGACTGTGTTCATGATGAGGAGGGGCCCGCGCTTGCCGAGGGCGGTGATGCGGAGGTTGCGGGTCGCGTGGAGGCGGACTGACGGGTGAATCGTGCGGCGTTGGGGCAGTTGGTTTGTTGGTGCCCCAATTGGCGACAACGGAAGCAACCCCCTTTTGCTTGGAGGTAGGTGCGCTCCTCGGGGGTGAGTTTCTTGAGGCGGGAGGGTGGGGTAGATGAGGGTGGTTGGGAGCTGCGATCTTTGCGCTCCATTCTCATGAACTGGACGACATCGAGTTCCTCAGAAGTGAGGGATGAAGAGTCGAGTGAATCGAAAGATGCGTCGGGGTTAGATGTGGTGAACTCGTCTGAGGAAGTGATGGAGGTGGTGTCTTCGGGGGTGATGTGGTGGAAAAAGCGGGTGCGGGAGGTGCCGGGGGGGGCCTGGTGGTGGGGGTGGAGGAGTCGATCGTGGTGGAGCATGCGAGAGAGGAGGTCAGCAAGGGGCATGTCGGGTTCGTGGGCGAGGGCAGTTGCAAGGTCTTTGTGGCATACTCGTTTRATGCGGGAGATGAACGCACAGTCGGGAATGACGGTGTGGGGGAGGTGGTGTCGGAGGGAGCGGACGTAYTGGACGARGCGGTCCGTGGGACCGGTCTGGCGGAGGTGGCAGAATTGTTCAAGGTAGTCRTCAATGGTTTTCTGGGGGCGGAAGGTGGCAGTGAGGAGGGTGGCCCATTGGAGGAAGGTGTGGCGTGGTCCTCCGGAGGCTCGGCGGTTGCTAGCTTCAGCCATCCACCATTTGGCTGYATTGCCGAGGAGGCGGGAGGTGGCAATGGGGAGCCAGTGGGCAAGGGGCATGTGGTGGAGCTGAAATGAGTTCTGAAGCTGGGTTAGGAATAGGAAAATGTCCTCGTGGGGGAGGCCTGAGAAGGACATGATTTCGCCAGATCGGAAGGAACGGGGGATTTCCCCGTCGCGGTGAACGATCTGCGCGAGGGTGTTGAAGCTGAGGTTATCGGGGGTGGTGTCGTAGCAGGTGTGGTCGATTTGGTTGTTGTCCTCAAGGAGGTAGTTGGGGGGAAGTTGTGGCATTGCGGGGAAGGCCCCAAAGGTGACTTGGGAATACGTGGGACGGATGGTGGGGATGGTGGAGGTGGTCATGATGGGTTGGGAGAGGGTTTGAGAGTGCGGGGGGGAAAGAGGGGTGACTTTGATGGGCGAGGAATCAGGCGGTGTGCTGGATGCGCCGAATGAGGGAGGAGGTGGAGGGAACGGAACGATGGTGGGGATTGAAGGGTTGGTGGATATGGCGGTAGAGGTGGTAGGAGTGGAGGAGGTCTGCGGGGGGGTGTTGCTAGAGGCGGCTGTGGAGGAGGGAGTGGTTTGCGCTGTGGGGGTTGGAGTGGTTTGCACTGTGGAGGTTGGAGTAGTTTGCACTGTGGGGGTTGGAGTGGTTTGCGCGGCGGTGACGACCGTGATGGAGGGGGTGGTCCCTTCGAGCGTGGTGACGCGGTCGCATATGGACGACATGTTGGCCTTTATGTCGTCGAGAGAGGCGGTGACGGAGGTTCGGGGGGTGTTGAGTGCGTGGAGGATGGCGGAGAGGTCGAGGGTGGCGGTGTTTGCTGGTGGTTGTTCGCCTGCGAGGTTGCGGGCGATGCTGTCAACTGAGTCGGTGCGGATGTCGGACATGTTGATGGAGGATGCGGTCATGTCGGGGGAAGAGGGGGTGGAGGACGTGGCCTGAGCGGGTGTGGAGGATGCAGCAGCAGTGATGGCGGCGGCAGCAGCGGCGGCGTCGAAGGCGGAGCGTTGGGAGTTCTTGGTTTGGCGTGGTGGCATGTGGAGGGTGGGGGGGTAATCCCTTATTTATTTATTAATAAATTCAAAAATAAAGATAATCCCCAAGTTTTTTTTTCAAAAATAAACGCTGAACAGAAAGAGTTAATTAATTTCGAAAAAATAAATTCTGATGTAGATTTAAATTTATTTACAAGAAAACGTGAAATTTCAAAAGAACATATTTTTGAATTACGGGGGAAAAATGAATAAATTCTGAAAAGAATTAGGAAGAGGAAAATTTTAAAATATTTGGCAAGAATTTTTCAAAGGAAAATGTCAACATTTCAGAAAAAGGATAATTAATTTCAAATAAAGAGATTAATTCAGTCGTGAATTAATTGAATTTAGTCGAAATTAATTGAGGGGTTTAGAATAACATTTTTAAAAGAAAGGTAGTTCCGAATTGTAAAAAGAGTTTCGAATTTCAAAAAAAATTGCGAAAAGAAATTGTGAATTAAAATACTGGGAAAAAGAATTAATTAGAATTATATTTGAAAAAAAGAATTTAATTAATTCTAACGTATTTTTAAAATTTTTGAAAAAAAAAATAAAAATAAAAATTAAGTAGAAATGTTTTGAAAAAGAAATGTTGAAAAAGAATTAAATTAGGTCTAAAATATTTCCAAATTTTCGAAAAGAAAAACGAATGAATTGAAAGTAG